ACACACCTCCCATTCCACTGGGGAAAAAATCCTCTAAATATATTTCTTTTCCTCCCAACGGGGATAAAAGTGGCTTGAGGGTGGCATTTTCATTGGGAAATTGACAGGAGAAAGGGGAAAATACAATGAAATGGAAACAAATGGATGAACATGATTTGAAAATTAAAGGCTTAGGGCATCCAAAATAGCATTTAGTGGGAAGAAATTTAGTCAAGTTCTGTTTCAGCCACTGTATTATTTTTTTTAAAAAAATGTGTAACCTCTGAATTGTTCGGTTGCTGTTGTCAACACCTAGATGGAGCATCGTCATAGAAAGAAAGATTCTCCAGTGCAAGTAAGCAGTCACCATCTCTTTGTTCAGATGAAGAGTTTGATGTGCTCCAATCTGGGAGAAGAACTGGAAGTTATCTTCTCGCTTTTTGATAGTAAAGAGAATCGACCAATCAGGTAGTACCACCATTCCATGGAAGCAAGCCAGAATTTTGTTGTATCATCCTTTCTAGCTTTTACTTAAACACAATAATTTGACTTTTAAATTTTGTTTTCTGAATGAATATATACATCCATATTCTATGTTTGTTGCTTTAAAGGTATTGTTTTACAGTTTGGGTCACTGAATATGATGAGTTGAGTGCAAAAGCACAGATGGTTATTTATTTTCCTAATAGCAGAGTATCAGAGAATGTTATGGGATGAAGCCATATATGGTCAGTGCAAGAGTGTTAATTTCATATTTTAGTACAGTTTATTGATGTTGACATTCATCAAAAACCTTTTGAGAATATATAAAACTGCTAGGAGCCTGAAGCAAATGATGATAAAGTGTATATTAAGGTTTGTAACTCTGATGACTTTACGTTGTCAAAGACAGCCTTTGCTACCATATGAGTTTAGTCCCACGTGGTGATGAATAATGCTTGACCTGGTCTAGCAACAACTGTAGCTTATGCAGGACAAAACAGTTCAGTACTCCAGTAAGACGGTTAATATTGCTATAACCAAAAAGAATGAGCAGTGCAGTAAGTAAATTTTGTGTTTAAAAGCCTACAATATAGAGTATCCCAGATAATGGGAATCCTGTTTCTCTTTCCAGCCCATGAAACATATTACATCAGTCAGTGAAAGTGATAAAGTCTTTATATCCAGGATCATTTTCTGTCCGTCCCCCCCAGCATGATTGAGTCCACAGAAAAAGGCCTTATGGGCTCATAGCCTTTTGGAAAACTACCTGGTGCCAGGGAACAGAGAAGAACTCTTCTCAGTCCTCCAGATTACCTTTTCCTGTGGCCACAGCTACCACTAATGCAGTCATCATTGCCAGGTCACATAAGTGGGGCAGGGGCAGTTGTTCCAGTTCTGGCTAGTGAAGGAAGGTGTTCAAAATCCTGATGTGGTCCTGATGATGCTGTCAGGAATGAATTGGGCTCAGATGACTGTTTTTGAGAAACATATCTCTGTTGAGCCTGTTTCTGAAATGAGCTCCTGGGAGTCCGTCACAGATTAGGAACAAGAACAAGGCAACCTAAGGGTGTTTCCATGCTTTGTTGGATATTGTGTTATTATTGCACTGCATTAATCATTCACAGATGGATTGTCTTGTTCAGACTAGATAATCCAGTTGCTAGCAATTTGCTGTAAAACAACAGTAGCATCCTGCCCAGCAATGTATGGATACAACCTAAATGACCAGGAGGATTCCTCAAGGAATGTTGAAAAATGCACACAGCCTCTGGCAGCAGGGAGGAGGGATTGCCTTCCTGCTGGAGGGGTTTACCTCTTCAGCCCCCAGTACCAGAGGCAACCCCGTCCAGCTTTGTTTGTTAGATACAGAAGTAGATAGAACAACAATGAAGACTGAGTGAATAGAATAGAAGTTAGAAGAATGAGTAATAATTCATTGAAGATTCAAAGGACGTACTAAGGATTGGAACGTGACTTAGAGGGAGTTGTATGGTGGTTTTATATGTGGGTGGGATAAGGGAGTAAGAAAAACAAGAGGATACAAACTGAATTGGGATTGGGTATGGGTTGTCAGTTGTATAGATGGAATGTAACCTCAATTTTTTTTTGTTTAAAACATGAAAGAGAGTATAATACATAAGGATATGAATTACTTTTATGAAATATGAAATATATAAATTAAAATTCTATTAAAAACACAAGAAACAGAATCATCATAGTTCAGGTGTTCATACCTGGGAGTAAGTCCCATAGGAAGTAGTGGGAACAGCTGTTGAGTGAACATGCTTGGAGTTGCATTTGGTCCCTTACCTGGAGCAAGTAACAGTTCCATTCAGGTGAATAGCTTGCAAACCCCATTCTGACACATGTGTAAATATCAGGTATCTGAGAGGTTTTTTAAAATTGAAAATCTCTTTGTTTCTGTAAAGAGTGAGTGCAGTTTAGTTTTGGTAAACTACTGTTTATGTTAAACATCTACGTTTGTGAGATCAGAACTCTTGGAGCTAGCTATTGTGAATATCTAAGTAACTGTAATGACTGTACTCAGGGCATTCTAAAAGTCCCTGAAAACTGCTATTTTCCTTATTGTTGAGCTGTGTTTTTCTTTTCAAAGGTGAAATGATATTATTGAGTATGCACTATGTGTGATGAAAACAAGAGACCAGATTATTTGTAGCATGGCACAGAAGTTATTTCCACAGCAAGGAAAATCCATAATGTTTGCCAGGCTTTGCTTCCTCTGCATTAAAAGCCATTAGTGGAATTTAAGCTGCATTACAAGCACTACCTGCTGAGAATATCTTCTCTTTTTTTCAGTTTTTTTTACAATAATGGATGCATGCTTGTGTGAATTTGGAAGGAAGGCAGATTCTTTTGAGTTGTAAATAAATAATTCACCAGCTGTCTAGATGGAATCCCCATGATTAACATATTAAACTAACTGCTCAGTCCTTTGCAGGGTTACTGCAGTCTAAACCCATTGATTTCAGTGGGCTTTAGATTACAGTAACTCTGCAAAGGATTGCTCTGTAAGCCTCCTCTTTTATCCATTTTTGCACTCAAAGCCACTCAGTGCTGAGAACCACATGGTCTGTGAAAGAGAATAAAAACCACAGCCATGTTGTCCTAATCCATCCTTTATCAAAACAGTGGCAGTAAGCTTGTTCAACTTTCTTGTTAACAGGAAACTGTGCCACTCATTGATGGTTCCTACCCATTGTAAATAAATCTATCAGCTTGGTTGTACCTGAGTTCCTTAGTGACAATTAGTAAGCAGAGTTTTTGTTTTATAAAAAAACTAGCAGTAAAGCCCGTTGTGAAAGCAATACAACGAGATCTAGAAAGAGGCTCTGGGGCAGTGCTCTGGCTTTGGGCAAACAGTGTCAATTTGCTGTGGTGACCTCAGCAGGGTATAATGACAGAGTCCACTGTTTTCTCCAGAGGAACTGATCTCTGCTACCTGAAGAGCAGTTGTAATTGTGAGTGATCTGTAGCCCTCACCTGGAGATTGGCAGCAATTGTTACCCAGGACAAAATGGCTGGTTTGGAGGGTGTAGTCTATGGCATTCTACCTGTCTGAGGTCCCACCCCTCTGCAAACCCCACCCTCTCCAGGCTCCAGGAGGCAGAAGCCTCTGGTCGCCCGCTCCCTTCCGCTCTCCCACCACCGACTCCTGGGCCAGCAACTGGAGGCCGGGTCCCTTCCCCCCCACTCACTCCAGGGCCGGCAACGGGATGCAGAAGCCTCCGGCCGCCGCC